GTCTAGAGCCTGGGGTCTATTGGGAGTGGTGGAGGGAAGCAGGACCCCTCTGGTCACTGTAGAGAAGGGGTCAGCCCTGGGTGGGAAGGGGATTCCAGGAAGCCTTGAGATTGGCTCCCAAAGGTATGTGGCTTGGAGACTGGCCGAGCAGACAGCCTCAGGGGCCAAAACCCCAACCCCAGACACGCCCGCCCCCATCTCCTGTTCTGCCAGGCCCATCCACCTTCCTCCATCTCCCACGGCAAGCAAGGGCAGGGCCCGAGGTCTTTGGCCAAGACCAGATACCCAGGCCAGGCCTACCATGTGGAGGCATGTACAACGGAGAGAGGGGCTTCCTCAAGATGCCTTGCCTGGATCTACCTCCTGGATAGGTGGCAAATGAGGGAAGGGGGCCTGTTGGGGCCATGTGCAGCCCTCACCTCCCTGCCTGGCAACATGGCCCCAAAGCCAGCCGCTACCCCCCGCCCCCAGCCCCAGCCCCCAGCAGCCTAGCACAGACTTGGGCGTCAGCCAGAACCCAGATGTGCCAGGGCAGGTTGAATGGGGAGAGCTCGTTTCCTCCGCTTCGCCAGGCTGGTGCCAACTGGGCTTTCCCAGTGCAGATTCAGCACTGGAGGCCCTTTGGTTTACTCAGTGCAGGAGTCTCCTTCCTGGAGTTCCTTGAATCTTTAAGGGACAGAGGCCTGACTGCCTCACACTCTGGCCCCACACTCTGGCTATGCAGCTCTGACACAATAAAAGTCACCATTTGGGGCAACTTCTTATGGACCAGGTGCTGTATTGATTTTACATACTTTCTTTCACAGAGGCTGCATGAAATAGGCATTACTATCACCATCTCCATTTTGGAGATGTGGTAACAGAGGCTTAGAGCCATTAAGTGTCTTACTTAAAATCATATGATATAGATAGATGATAGATAGACAATAGATAGATAAGATAGAGAGATGATAGACAGTTGATATATAGATAGATGATATAGATGATAGACAATAGATTTCCTGCCTCTGTCCAATGGGAGGGCCTAGACGCAGTGACACCTCAATAGCAATAAGCACACCAGTGTCCAGATCTTGGTTTCTAAATACCACTCTCCAATAAAGGAAACTATACCCCTTAGAGAAATGGCAGATTCTAGCACTCAGGGAGGGTAAATACAAGGTGAGCCTGGAGCATCTCATAGTGCCAGAAAGTAAGGCAGTGCTCAAAAAACAAAAAGATGAGGGGATGTCAGACAGACACAGGAGTCTATCTGGAAAAGCTTCCAAAGGCAAAAGCTGGAACGATTTGAACAATAAAATACATAACTTAGTATTGAATTATCACTCAAAGGAAAGATGAATAAAAGCATAAATACATGCCTTTATAATAAATGACTGATTTAGTAAGTAGGGAAAAGGAACAAATCTTCCTGACGGAAGAACCCCAAATAATATATGTAGCTCTATCCACCAGGAACTGGGAGCATGCCTTGAGAGTGGGTTCCATTTGCTTCCAAAGAACAGAGTATGGAAAGGGGAAATAGGGGAGCCTGGCTGGCTTAGTTGGTAGAGTACGTGGCTCTCGATGTCGGGGTTGGGGCTCCAGCCCCACATTGGGTGTAGAGATTACTTTAAAAAAAAATAAAATCAGGGCACCTGGGTGGCGCAGCTGGTTAAGAGTCCGACTTTGGGCTCAGGTCATGATTTCATGGTTTGTGGGTTTGGGCCCCATAGCACAGAGCCTGCTTCTGATTCTCTCTCTCCCTCTCTGTCTGCCCTTGCCCCTTTCACACACTCTCTCTCAAAATAAATAAATAAACATTTAAAAAATAAAATAAAAATCAGGGCGCCTCGGTGGCTCAGTCGGTTAAGCATCTGAGTCTTGATTTTGGCTCAGGTCATGATCTCGCGGTTCGTGAGACTGAGCCCTGCGATGGGCTCCGTGCTGACAGCGTGGAGCCTGCTTGAGCTCTCTCTCTCTCTCTCTCTCTCTCTCTGCCCCTTCCCCCTGCTTGTATATTCTCTCTCTCAAAATAAATAAACTTCAACTTTTTCCAATTTAAATTAAAAAAAAAAAGGAAAGGGGAAAACAGTAACTTCACAGTGGGAAAGTCTGGCAGACACCAGCTTAACCATATAATCAACGTGAACATCACCCGGACTAAGTCACGTGGGCATCATGTGCCTCCTGAGATCATGTGACAAGAAAGGCACTCTGCCTCTGAGGTATTCTTCCCTCAAACCCATAACTTCTGCCTCGTCATAAGAAAAACATCAGATAAACCCAAATAGAGGGACAGTCTAACAAAATCCTGACCAGAACTCCTTAAAATTGTCAAGGTCACGGAAACCAAAAAAGATGGAGAAAGTGTTGCACACCAGAGGACCCCAAGTAGCCATGAGAACAACATGCAATGTGAGATCCTGGACCGGATCCTGGACCAGAAAAAGGACATTAGTGGGAAAACTGGTGAAATCTGAATAAAATCTGGAGTTCAGTTAATAGTCATGTACTGAAGTTGGTTTCTTAGTTTTGACAACTGTACCATGGTAATGTAAGATGTTAACAGCAGGGAAAACGTGGAAAGGGGCATATGGAGCTCTCTGTGCCATCTCTGAAACTTTTCTGTAAATCTACAATTATTCCAAAGTAAAGACTTTATTTTATTAAAAAAAATTTTTTTAATGTTTATTTATTTTTGAGAGAGAAAGACACAGAGTGTGAGCAGGGGAGGAGCAGAGAGCGAGGGAGACACAGAATCCGAAACAGGCTCCAGGCTCTGAGCTGTCTGCACAGAGCCCGATGTGGGGCTTGAACTCACAAACCGTGAGATCATGACCTGAGCTGAAGTCAGACACTTAACTGACTGAGCCACGCAGGCGCCCCAAAAAAGACTTTATTTTAAAAAATCACACGGGTTGGGTCACCTGGGTAGCTCAGTTGTTTGAGCACCTGACTTGTGATTTCGGCTCAGGCCAGGATCCCAGGGCCATGGGATTAAGCCCTGCATGGGCTCCTTAAGATTCTCTCCCTCTCCCTCTGCCCCTCTCCCCCATTCATGCTCTCTCTCCCTCTCTCTCTCCCTCTCTAAAAGAACAAAATAATCGCATGGGTATAAATGTCTGAACCAGGATTCAAATTCAAATGTGTCTGCCTGCTTCGGCATATGCTTCCCATACACTCCACCTTCTCCACACCACCCATGTTAGAAAGTCATTCCCAAAAACTTCTTCCTGGGTCTGAGCCCCTCCCCATCCGCCCATGTTGGCCTTCTAGGACCACCCTGGCTCATAGTCTTTGCCCCATGGCCTCCTTTTGAGGGATGAGGATGCTCTGGTCCCCCCAGATGCAGTCACATCTCCAAGCTCACTCCCAGGTGCTTCTACTCTCTTGGATGATTTGGGTTTCGATGAACATTGGCCTCCCCCGCAGCTACCACCCCCGTGCAGGAGCCCTCACACTCCACTTGGGGATCCACAGGGTTCCAGGAAAGAGAACTCCCCAGCTTGGCTCCAGGGATAAAGCACACGACCTAAGCTAGGTCTGTCAACACACGCCACCCGCCCCAGCCACTGTGATCAGCCCAGAGGTAGCCACGTGACCCAAGCTGGTCTAATCAAAAAGCATCCCAGGCCTTTGACAGGGAACAATTCCCTCCTTCCATGTTGGATGTGAATGAAGAAGCCCCTGGAAGCCTTAGGATGAAGACAATACCAAGGACCACACAGTAGAAAAATAGAAAGAGCTGGGTCCTAAGTGACATGAAACCTTGCTTGAAGCCCACCCTGCCTATCGACTTCTTAGTTATGAGAACTGTGGCAGGCTGAGAACCGGTCCCCTAAGCGATATCTACATCCTAACCTCTGGAGTTTGTGAATGTTATCTTATATGATAAACATGGGGGGGGGATAGATTTTTTTTTTAATGTTTATTTATTTTTGAGAGGGAGAGAGCAGGGGGGAGGCAGAGAGAGAGAGAGGATCCAGAGTGGGCTCTGTGCTGACAGCGGAGAGCCCAATGCGGGCTCAAACTCAGGAACCGTGAAATCATGACCTGAGCTCAAGTCAGATGCTTAACCAACTGAGTCACCCAGGAGCGCCACAAGGTGGGGGATAGATTTTTCAGGTGGGATTTAAGGATTATGAGATGAGTATCTGGGTGGACCCCAAATGCAATCACATGTATCCTTATACTTGGGAAGCAGAGGGAGAACTGACATATAGACACACAGAGGAGAAGGCAGTGTGATCTTAGAGGCAGAGACAGGAGCAGTGTGGCCACAAGCCAAGGAAAGCCGGCGGCCCCCAGTGCTGGAACAGATGAGTGACAACTCTCCCCTGCAGCACACATCTGCTGCAGGACAGGGGACAGCCATGCAAACACCTGGGTTTTGGCCCAATGATACCAACTTCAGATTTCCGGCCTCCAGAACAGTCGGAGCATACATTTCTGTTGTTTAAGTCCCCTAATTTGTGATCATTTGTTACAGAAAGCTGTAAGAAACAAACACAAGAGCTAATACATTCTCATTAATCCCAAGGCTGATTTCAATCTGGTATTTTGTCACTTGCAGTGAAAAGCAGTCTAATTCATCCACAGCTCTGCTGTCACCCTCCTCTGGTTAAGAGGTGAACTCCAAGGGGCGCCTGGGAGGCTCAGTTGGTTAAGCGTCCAACTTTGGCTCAGGTCATGATCTCACGGTCCGTGGGTTCGAGCCCCGGGTCAGGCTCTGGGCTGACAGCTAGCTCAGAGCCTGGAGCCTGCTTTGGATTCTGTGTCCCCCTCTCTCTCTCTGCCCCTCCCCAACTCACACTCTGTCTCTGTCACTCAAAAATGAATAAATGTTAAAAAAAAAACTTTTTTAAAAAAGAGGTGAACTCTATGGAAAGACAAATCCCCACTGGGAGGCAGCCAGAGACCCCCCCTGACCTTTAGCTGGGGAAGTAGGGCAAGGGGCGGGGGTGGGGGCAGCATCCGACAGCTCACAGACTCAAAGCAAAGGCATCATGAGAGTTTATTTACAGAAAAGTCACAGCAACCAGGGCCCATGCAGGCTGTGGCCCGAAGACCCCAGATACAGATATAGATGTGGATACAGATATGTACACAAGTCCCAGCACCCAACAGCACCGGAGCTGTCCCCAGCCAGGCCCCTGCCAGAGGGACCAAGAGTCCGGCAGGGTGAAGGGAGTGGGCCCCAGTCCTTGCCAGATATCGCGGGTCCCCTGTGCAGTCCCCATGCCAGAGGAAGGGAGTGGCGTGTGTCCCGAAGCGTGGACTTTGAGGACCGCGAAGACAGGCTGAGCTCCTGATGCCAGGCCATGGCATGGCAGCGATGGCCTGGGGCACGGGGCACGGCAGGCCCCTCCACACCCGTCCAGCAGCTGGGCATGGAGCCGGCGTCCCAGGCCACAGCTGCCCGTCACGCGGGGGGCTCCCCCACTTTGCTGGTGGCATTTGTGACCCGCTTGTTTTCCCGGAGGTTTCGAAGACGGGCACTGAGGCTGCTGATCTCTTCCACGTAGGCCTGGGGCACCCACCCCTTCTCACCATCTGCCAGGCGGACCCCCTCCAGCCAGCCTACAGGCCAGGAGCAGCATCAGTGAGTGGCATCGAAAGGACACCAGGGCCAGGTCTGCAAGGGAACGCCTGGGCCCTGACGCAAGCCTTGTCTGCACCCCCGGGGGCAGAGGTGACATCATCCCAGCACCTCCCAGCACCAGGAAGAACCCTGCCTTTAGCAGTTTCGTAGATGAACTTCTGACCTCTTTTTCCCAACATCCTCTACGAAGGGTATTTCCCACTCTCCCCCCATCAGTCGCTCCAAATCCTACATCTTTATAAGCAGGAAGTTCCTCCTCTTGTCTAACTTGATTCCTGCATGCTGTGGTTGATCAACGCTTGCATAACCTTTTCCTGGGATATCTTAGCCATCTAGCTACCTCCTACCCACCCAAGCCCCATGAGGGAGGCCTTCCCAGGAGGCCCCTCTCACCATCACTGGTTTGGGTCCTCACTGCCAGGATGTCAGTCTTCTCCAGGGTCAGCTCATCGGGCTGCAGTGCCTTGTATGTCCTGACACACTGGACCTGGGGGCGGTCTGACAGCCCAGGGGAGAGTGAGGGGGTCCGCAGGGGAGTATAATGGGGGCAGGGCGGGATAGGGGGAGGAAGCAAAAGGGCAGGAGGGCGGCTGCATTTTCTCTGCGCCTCCCTCTGCCCACCCTGGCCACACTCCTCTCTTAGAAACACAAGCCCTAGGTGAATCCAGTCCCTCCCAGCTTACTGCTTCCGTGCCCGGGGCTCTCACCTCCCCAGCTCAGTCTGACACCTTGATGCTGACCTCCAGGCCAATGTCCAACTACCCCCAGATACCTCCCACAAAACAGTAATGGCCCCTTCATATGTTACTTCTCCGGGGCTCCCTCTAATCTACCCTTCTCAACCAAGTCACACCCCCCCCCCAGATATAACCCTTCAGGGCTTCCCGGTCCTCTTTGAATAAAATAAAATCCAAAGTCCTCCCCACAGCCTACAAAGCCACACATGGGATGGCATTGCCTTCTTGCTAGCCTCCGCTCCTCCCCTCTTCTTCCCCTCTCCCCCTTGCTCCTAAAGCTCAGCAACAATGCCTGCCCTGCTGTTCCCCAAATCCTCTGAATTCCCTTCTGCCTCAGGGCCTTTGCACTGGCTGCTCCACCCTCCAAGAGTCCTTTCCCGCAGATCTCTTCATGGCTGCCCCTCTTCATCCTTCAGGGGCCTTCCCTGACCACCTGTCTGGAGTGGGAAGCTTGCCCCACAGCCCAAGCAGGACTCCTAGCCCGAGCCAGAGAACCTGCTTCGGTCTAGGCCCTAGGCTCGTTCTACCACCGCAGGCAGGCTGGCAGTACTGGGAAAACCACAGACTGTGGGGCCAGACCTGGCTTGAATCCCAGCTCTGCTACCCATTGGCTACCTGACCTTGGGCAAGTTACTTAACATTTCTGAGCCTGTTTTCTCAGATATGAAAAAAAGGAGTCTGTTTAACAGGCTTGTCATGAGGATTAAGTAAAATAAATGCATATAAAAGCTCCTAATACCAGGCTTGACACATGGCAAGTAGGCGGACACATGAGTTCCCTTCCACCCCCTTCGTTAGCTCAGCCCTAACTCCCCTGCTCAAAACCCTCCAGTCGCTGCGTGGTATCCGCCGCCTCAAGGTCCTCTGTGATCGGGCACCACTCTGGCTGACCTGCCTCACTTACTAGTTGGGTGAATTTGCACAGGTCACTTTACCTCTCTGAACCTGGTTTTCTAATGTGTAAAATGGAGTTCTACAAGGGTGAAGTGGCAGGATACAAAAGGCTTTGTCGGGGCGCCTGGGTGGCTCAGTCAGTGAGGCTCAGGTCAGGATCTCGCGGCTCATGGGTTCGAGCCCCGCCTCGGGCTCTGTGCTGACAGCTCAGAGCCTGGAGCCGGCTTCGGACTCCCTGTCTCCCTCTGTCTTTGCCCCTTGCCTGCTCTCTCTCAAAAATAAATAAACATCAAAAAATTAAAAAATAAATAAATAAAAACAAAAGGCCTTGTCATCTCCAGGGTGCTGCCTGTGCATATGGGGTGGGGGTGGGGGTATCGCCCTGTCCAGTGTAAAACCCACCCCTCCTTCAAGGGTCTGTACAGCCACCCCTGACTGCCCCGGGCCCGGCCGATCTCTCTCTCCCCTGCCAGCCAGCGCACAATTGGAGGAAAGGGAAGAGCAGCGAGGGATCCTGCCCCGGGGCATGTGGACCGAGAAGCAGGTGATGGGGGAGGGGAGGGGGCAGCAGGCTGCTACCTTGGCCTTCGCTGAAGACCTCCTTGTCCTCCTGGGAGCTGGAGGGGCACATGGCCGAGATCCATCGCCGCTTCTCACTTCTAGGGAGGGGGAGGCTGAGCTGTCACAAGGCGCAAAATCTCCCAGGGCCAGAGTGGTGAAACAGGGCTGGGAGAATCAGGCATGACGTCCAGACTCAGGACCCACCCCAGGGCCCACCCCACAGCCCCTGTCCCCAAGCCTGGGCCCCACCCAGCTCTGAGCATAAGGACCGAGCAGGCCCAGAAGCTCCTGGGCGCCAGCTCCACGCGTGCCCTGCCTTGTGCCAGTGCCATCCGTCCTGCGGCCCGAGGTTAAAGGCCTCCTGGTGCCTGCCTGGGGGTCCTCCCTTCCCGGCCCTGGGCCCACTCACTCCGTCCGGGCTCTCAGCAGGAACTGGTGCTTCGCGTGTGGCCCGTGGAGGAGCTGCAGAAGGAACACGTGGCCGGGGATGCCCTGCAGCTTCAGGCTCAGATCCTTCACCTGGAGCTCGGCCATCTTGGCGTGGAGGAAAACTGCGAACTTCCCTAGCCTGCAGGGGTGGGGGGTGGGGAGGCGAGGTCAGCCCGCTCGTCCCCAGGCTCCCAGCCCCACCCTCTCAGGGCAGGTGAGTTCAGGATCCCAAGGAGAGGGGATGGCTGCCCACCCCCCTCCCTCCCCACGGAAACTGGGCTGTGTAAGACATCAGCTCCCTAACAGCCAGCACAGTCCCCGTGAGGAAAGGGGAGCCCACAGAAGTGGAAGGGGACAAAAGCTAGTCCCTGTGTCCGGCGTGCTTCCAAGTTCTCTCAGAACCTCTCCCTGAGTCCCTGTTCTAAAGAGCCCAGACAGCCACTCGGATGAGACCCTGCGCTGTGGAGTGTCTGCCTCTCTCACTGGTGTAGAACTTGAACTTTGTTCCCTATTTGCCCCACTCTATCCCAGGGCCACACCCTGCCTGGCCCACAGTTTGGGCTCAATAAACACTTGTGGGAAGAAGGGGCAGGTGGGTGGGTCAAGGATGTTCCACGGATTCCTTGCTCTCAACCCGTCTGACCCGCAGTCAGTATCTTGCACGCCAACCGAGATCGCGTCACTGTTGCCCATTCCGGGGAAACACTCCCCGTCAGCTTGTCCAGGAGGAAAGTCAGCCGTTTTCTCACCTCTTCCCTCCCTCTCCCTGCACAGCCAGCCAGCGGCTCCACCCATCTGACTCCCTATTGTTCCTGGAATCCACTGACCACAAGTCCCCCCGCCCCCCAACCACCACCACACCTGAAGCACCTATTGTCACCTGGGCACAAGTGCAATAGCTTCTGGCCTCTTCCGTTCCAGTCCATCCCCCAAAATGGCCGGGAGTAAGAGGTCACTCATCTGCTTCACACAATCCCCACGGCCCTCAGGACACCCAGCCTCTGTACTGTGACTTTCAATGCCCCAACTTCCCTCTCCTGCTCTTCCCCTCTACAAGCCCGCCCAGATTAGGCTTCATCATCCCCGATGAATCTGCCATTATACCTTCCTGTGACTTTGCTACATATCCTCCCAAACTCCTTCTCTACCTGGCAAACTCCTATTTATCCTTCAAAACCCAGCTCAGATGTCCCTTCCTCTTTGAAGCTTTACTGATTCTCACCCCATGCCAGGGGATGAGATAGTGCAAGTACACCTTTCCATCAAAACCCTAACCAGGTGGTTAGCAGGATGTATTTGAATTGTTCTGAAGGCTCCTCTAGGCAGAAAACAATTCTCATTCATCTTTATGTCCCCAGCACCCAAAAGCGCCCAGTAGAGAATAGGGATCCAGGGACATTTTAATGAATGAACGAATAAATCAGGAATGAACCCTTCCCATAGTATAAGAAGTCCATTCTTCATCGCATTCAGCCTTAAGGCTTACCTTCCTCAGAAAGTCTTATCGCTCAACCCAAACTTATTACTCACAGCTAATATTGGGTGTTCACCACGTGCCAGGCACTGTGCTACGGTCTTTCCTAATATTATTATCACACTGAATCTTCCCACATGGTAGTCTCTATCTTACAGATGGAAAACAGGATAATACAATGGGTAAGAGCCTGGGATCAGACATCAGATGGACCTGGCCTCCGGGCTCCTGCACTTTACTAGCTCCACGATCTTGAGAATAATAAGGGAGCCTCCTTTCCAGGGAGATGTTTAAAGGAGTGAAGAGAATAATCCACACAGCATGCCGGCACAGACTCAGTAAATGTTGGCCATCATCATCATGACTCAGGACGGAGCTGGGACTCCAGGGTTGTGCTCTTAATCTCTGCTCTACTTGGCTTAGGCTCGGAGCAGCGTCAAGTCCACTACATAGAGTCCAGCCCTTGGTTCTTAGGCCTGGAAAATGGAGTGGCCTTGCCTCACATCTCCGCCTGGGGGGAGCCTCGGAGGCTCAGGGTGCCAGGCCAGCACCGGCTGACTGTGATTCCTGGACTGGTTGTGAGCCCAACGGTGGGCAAGAAGGGAGCCTGGCTCCAGTCTCCCTCCCCCGACCCTGCCCAGACTTACTCCTTCCGCCGGGAGAGCAGCAAGCAGTCATTGAAGAGGTGCAGGTAGACTGCCTTACTGGACAGCTTCAGCTTGGCAGGGGGCGCCGCGGGCAGTGGTGCCAGCTCCACCAGCTCCCCGTGCCGAACCAGCCAGCGGGCCTGAGAGATTAGTGGGAAGATCTGGAAGGGTGGAAGGGGCAAGGCGGAGGGCAGGTCAGGCCCAGGAGAGCAGGGCAAAGAGCACAGAGCAGGGGATGGGGGGGATGGGCAGCGATGAACTGGCCCCCAGTGCCCAGCGGGGGAGGGGACGAGAGCTGCCCCTTTGTGGTCCCCGTCCCCCCAGCTGCGGACCCGCACCTTGCCCTCGAAGTGGATCTTCTTGCTCAGGTGGATGAGCTCCTCTGTTCTCTTCATGGACTGCACACTGGCATTGCACTCTTGCACCAGCTGGGGAGGCCGTGGGGGGGTCACTGGCAGCTCCCCCAACCCCGGCTCCCAGAGCCCAGCCGCAGACTCCCCCCTGGGGACCAGAGGCTCCGAAGGCTGGGGCTCATTCAGAGACATGTCGGTGTTTTGGGGGAGGCCCTCGGGAGCCGAGCTCACCTCCTTGAGCGCATTGAAGGCCTTGGTGGCCACATCTTCATCTTCTGAGCCCTGTGCTGTCCTCTTCAGGATGTTCTGGAGGGTGGGGGCGGGGCAGTGAGGCAGGCCATGACCCCCACCTATAACCCTGCCCACCCGCGGGACCCACGTTCCTCACACGGCCCTCACTGTAGCCCGGTGCCTTCTAGTACCTCCACCAGCATCTTGAGGCGGGTGATCCTCTGAAACGGCAGGATAAGGAAGGAGGTGAGGGGCAGGCGCTGGCATACGGGAGACTCCTCCAGGCGAGCCAGTATGCCAGGGAACTTGGGATTCTCCAGGCTGAAAGATGGGGAGGGGCCTGGGGTCACGGATGGGTGCTTGGTCCCATGAACTGCCAGGATCCATGACCCCAGCCGCCACCTTGAGGTGCCTTCTCAGCATATCCCTCCTGCCTCTTGCGGTTGGATATAACCTTATCCTTGTCGCAGAGCCCCGTTCTGGAGCTCCTCCCCTCCCAGGTCACCCTTCCTCACCCCGTGCTCTGTGCCCACTCCTAAGACTCCCTCTATCCTCCCCCTGCCCCCCAGCCTCCGACCCTACAGCAGGCGCTGGTAGGTGCGCTCCTGGTAGGCCTGGTTGGTGACGTAGGGCAGGTAGACCCGGCGGAAGGCGGGGCAGTGCTGTAACACAATGTCGCACACGCTGAAGCGCAGGACATCTGCCTCTAGCCGCTGCTCCAGGTCCTGCAGGAACCTGAGGGGCCCGGCAAGGGGTCAGGGTCAAGGCCAAGGAGAGAGCCCAGACCTGGGCCTCCCTGCACCCACCCCTGACCCGACCACTCCCTCACCTCTCGCTGGTGCTCTTGACCTCGGGCAGTTTGGAGAACAGCCACTGCTTGTCCTGCACCCCTAGACATTCGCTCAGCTCAGCAGAGCCTAAGAAGTGGCCCACGGCCACCGACAGGCTGTGGATGTATGAGGCCTCGGACGTGATCAGCTCAAACTTGGCCTGAGTGTGGGCGGACACGGGGTTGAAAGGGCCGGAACAGCCCATCCCTGACACGGTGACCTCACTCACCTCCCGCGCTCCTCACCCTCCTTTCCCCTTCACCCCCCCACCCGCGGCTGCGCAAGCCCCGTCCACCGCCAAGTCAGACCCCACGCCCTCGTGTCGCGGCCCCTTCGCTAGCCCCGCCTCCGAATACCTGGGGCCAGGCGGGCTCGGGACACCCACCTCCTGCCGCGCGCGATCGTTCAAACCCAGTAGAAGACCTTGACCGAGCCCCTAGCTCCACCCACTGGGCCCGGCCCTAGTCCTCCAAAGGCCCTGCCCCTCTGCGGGGAGCCCTTCATTTAGCCCCGACCCAGCTCCAGGACCGGCTAAGCCCCTCGCCCACCACGCTTTTTCTCTCCGGAGGGCTCTGCCCCGCCCCCGCCCTCGCTTCCCCGAGCCCACCTCAGCCGGCCCAGCCTGACCCCGCCCCTCCCCTGGCCCCGTCGGCCCCGCCCCCGGCCCCACCCCTGCGTCCGGAGGCTTCCCGCACCGCTCCCAGCCCGCTAGCAGCCAGCCCACCTGGTCAGGGCATGGCACCCACCTTTCGCACGGACGGTCCCGCCGGCCCCGCCCCTTGCGGCCCCGCCCCCTTGCGGCCCCGCCTTCCCCGCTGAGCCCCCGGCCCACCTCCTGCAGGTTGCCGTCCCCGCTGCTGGGTTCCCCAGGGCCCCGCTGGGTCCCGGGACGGTGTCCTCCCGGTCCCGCCCCTTCTGTTGCCCCGCCCCCCCGCGGGCCCCAGGGCCACCTCCCCGGCTGGCGGCCCCGCCGACCCCGCCCCGCCGACCCCCGGCGCCCACCTCCTGCAGCTTGCAGTCGCGCAGGCTCAGCGTGGCCAGGACGCCGCTGCCGCGCACGTCGGGGATGTCCTGCCACAGCGAGAAGGTGGAGCCTCGCGCCGAGCGCTGCGCCCGGAAGGAGCTGCTCGGGGAGAGGTTGGCGCGCGGCGGCCCGGGCCCCTCCTCCGCGCCCTCCGCCTCGTCCCCCGGGCCCTCCTCCTCGCGCTGCTGCCGCCGCAGTTCGCGGGCGCTGGCCACGTCGCTGTATTCCTGGTAGAGGACCGCTGGGCGGGGAGAGGGGCGGGGGAGGGCCGTGGGGCGCCCGCCGGCCCGCTGCGGCCCCTGCCCGGCTGGCTCCCCGAGAGCCCGCCTCGCTGAGCGCGCCTTTCGGAAGGTTCGGGTAGCGGGACCCGGCGGACCGGTGCACGCACTCCCTCACCCCTTCCCATAAACGCTGCTGCGCGCCCACTGTGTGCTAGCGCTGTGCTTGCCACCGAGAGTCATCTCTCTCCCTCTCGGAGGATCCCCAACCTCCGAGCTCTCCAACCCCCCAGCCCCCCACCCTTCCTCCCACGTACTGTTTAGGAGAAACCGTGACTGGCGCCGCTCGCTGGCGCTCCTGGGACCCAGAGCCAGCTCTTCCTGCGCGTCCAGCCTAGGAAAGGGACAGTGTCAGGGCCCTTCTTCGCCTGCACCCCTCCTCCTCGGACCGAGCTCGAAGTAGGAGATGGTACCTGGGCTCGGGCCAGCCGCTCTGGCCCCCGCTCAGGTCAACAGGGGCTGGCATCGCCATACCGTCCACCCTCATCTCTACACTGCGCGACTCCCTTCCCGACGCTTTCCCTGGAGAGGGCGAGAGCTGAGGGTGGGTGGCTCCAAGAATGGATCTGGGCACCTGGGGTGCCATACTCCAGCCGACCAGCACCCAGTCGCGGGTGTGCGCGGGGCCCGTGCTGCATCTGGCTCCCGGCCTGCTCTTAGGGCCCAGGGGAGAAGCCGGTACCTTCCCGAGCTGCTCCAGCGCCTGACCCTGGGGTCAACACTCTGGCTGCGGAATTCCGCCCCAGGCGCAGGGAGGAGTGCAGGCGGGTCATCAGCTCAGAGGCGGAGAAGCGCCTCCGCTCAGGCCCCTCCAGGCCTAAGCGGGAGGGCCCGGACAGCTCCAGCGGCCGAGGATCCTCTGTGCTCAGGGCTTGCTCTGCTGCCTGGCCAGGCTCCAGGAAGACAGCATGGGCCTCGGGGCTGCCAGGGAGCTCTTCACGCTGGTACACCCGCATCTTGCGCCCTACAGGGAAGTGGGGTGAGAGCACAGGCTGGCCTCTCTTGGGAGCTCTCTCCACTCCTGCCTGCTGCTACCCTGTGGCCCTGAGCATCTGAAGGACATGCCTCAGGGAAAGCCAGTGTTTTTGCCAGGATCAGGTCCTCCCAAAAATGGGATCAGCAAGAGGGGTAGAGAGAGCCCAGTGCCTGACTGCAGTGGGCAACGGGCCGAGGCACTCAGGGCAGCCACTCGTTTGCTGTGCAACGTCCCACAAGTCACTTGGCCTCCCTGAGCTCCAGTTCCTTCCCTTACCACTAAAATCTACCCCTTGTCCTGCCTGTTTGGAGAACTCAGGGGCTTAAGAGTCCTAAAGGAACCACCCAACCTCTCCACTATCTGCCCCACTGGGCCACCACCCCCTCCCCCAGAGTGACTCACAGGCTGACTTCTTCTCTGAGCCGTGGCTGGCCCGGCGCTGTGGCTGTGGGTGCTGGGGACTCCAGGGTCCCTCCAGAGCCAGGGGCTGGGCACTAGGACAGTGCGGCCAGCTGCCAGCCCTGCTGGGCCGCATCCCCCCACTGGTGGAGATCTCGGTGTCTGAGACTCCTGGGGATGGTGGCCATAGCAGCCCTTGGAGAGGAGCAGGGGTCCCCAGGGACCAGCGGCTGCCAGGAGCCTGCAGCTCCTCTGGGCCGACAGGGAAGAGATCCAGACACACAGGGCTCGGGGGCTGCAGCGTGGGCAACTCTGCAAAGGACAGACTCTCCTGTTGGCACACGGCTACTGGGCGGTGGGCAGCGCCACGTGGCCTGGCCAGGTGGGGCTGGAGGGTGGCAGGTGGCCCACAGTCCATTCCTCCTTTGCTCTGCCACCCACCTGGACCTGCAGGGGAAAACATGTCAGAGGCAGACACACAACAGCAGGGCTGGCCAGCAAGCCACCTTCGTCTTGGAGGCCTGGACAAACCCTGTGTGCACACATGTGTGCCAGCGCTCACACACCTGATTGCGTGCCAGTAGCTCATACTTAAGCTCATACTTGACACTTACTGAATGGCAGGCCGAGTGCTTTAGATACATTATTGCACTTACACAACAACCCTGACCTGATGCTATTATCATCCCCATTTAATTTTTTTAATGCTTTTATTTATTTCTGAGAGAGAGAGAGACAGCATGAGCAGGGGACGGTCAGAGAGAGAGGGAGACACAGAATCTGAAACAGGCTCCAGGCTCTGACTGTCAGCACAGAGCCCAACGCGGGGCTCGAACCCACGAACCACGAGATCATGACCTGAGCCGAAGTCGGACACTCAATCGACTGAGCCACCCAGGTGCCCCATCATCCCCATTTTATAGATGAGGAAAGTGAGGCACAGAGGTTATTTGGTATATGGTGGAGGCAGGATTCAAAGCTGGGCAGTCTAGCCTCTGAGTCTGCGCTTTTAACCACCTCATACATTTTCAGCTCTCGCTGACATAGGATCAGACATACAGGTACCTACGTTGTCACACAAACACATGTATGTTCCATGCACTTGCACACACGTCTTCTTGCAAGTATGCACATGGACATACACACTTTCTCAGATAAACTCAGACATTTCAAGTTCACAGGCTTGCACATTTAAACACTTTTTATACAACTAAATATTGTCACACTGACTCTCTCTCTCTCTCTCTCTCTCTCTCTCTCTCTCTCTCTCACACACACACACACGCTGACCCATCAGATATTTTTGTATCCGCTCAAGCTTTCTCTCACTCCTGTTCCATTCACACTCACACACCAAGATACAGACACAAACACACAGGGCCAGAAGCCCTTGCCTTGGTGTTACCCAACCTCGTCTCCCATGCCCGGAGTTACAGCCTTCAGTGCTGAGTGGTGCCCACACCCTGCCAAGCTGGCTGGGAGGGTCACAGACTGGCAGTAGGGCCACCACCCAGATCAGACTAGGCCCTCCCAGGAGAAGGGCAGGGAGATGGCCCGGCCCCAAGGCTCCCCAGCTTGGGGCGAGAGGAGGGTCCTTCCCTGCCCCAGCTCCCAGCCCCCGAGATCCAGCCAGGCTGACCGGGTCCTCTCTGGGCAGGAAGTCATGCCAAGGAGCCTGCCGGAGCCTCGGGACAGGCCTAATGATTGAGGGATCGGGGCCCCCACAGCCCTTCCCCCGCGGCCCTCTGGCTGCCCTCCGGCGGCCCCCTCACCTCTCCAGCCGAGCTCTGAGGTTGTTCTGCTCCAGCAGGGGAAGCCCTCTCTCTGCCCAGCTGGCTGGGGGAGATCCCACCCAGACAAAGAGTTTGATTCATCAAACCCTGTGGTGAGGCAAGCAGAAGGGAGGGAGGGAGCAGGCCGCAGGCTGGGCGGGGGCCTCCCCTAGCCTGGCCTCGCTGTGGGCAGGCGGGGCAGCATGGACCCCCCCCCCCCCAGAGGCCCCCTCAGCCCAGAGGAGCAGTGCCCAGCCTGGCTGGGCAAGGAGACCCCGGGGACAGAGATAGAGACCCAGAGATACGGAGACCCTTCAGGAAGCATCTCAGAACGGAGACCCCAAGACGCTCAAACCCAGAAAACCACAGACGCCAAGACATTCAGGGACCCAGAGATGGAGACAGAGAGACAGAGACACTGAAAATTTCACAGACCAGATACTCAAAGACTGATGAGAAGCACAGAGAAGCCCAGGGAGACAGATGGATAATGTTGTGTGCCCCGCGGGGTTGCCAGTCCGGCGAGGGAGGTAAAACTGAAAACAGTTACAATCTGGGTTGGCAGAAGCCCAGCCAGAGGAACCGTCAGCGCTCAACTTGACCTGAGCATTCCAGGAGGGCTTCCTGGAGGAAGTAAAGACAAACTGTTCCAGGTAAAATACCCAGGGACCCAGTAAACATAGATAAGGAGAAAACCTTGACCTGAGAGGAAGAGTGACAGTGTCAGTGACCTTGGGGGAGAGGGATGGAGGAAGACCCAGTGGGGGATCACCCTGCACAGCCGCCCAACTGCCCAACCGCTCCCCTGCTCTCTTCAGTCCCTGCCTGGAATGGGGTGGGGCTGCTCCTAACTAGGCCTTCCCCACAGGGACAGCGTTAGCTTGGTACCTTAAACCTCTGTCCATCTGCGCATGTCTGTTTTCTTACCTGGTGAATGCGCTTGTCATGCCAACTTTAAAATATGAATATGAGATGTCATGGTAGCACGTGTAAAGCGCCTAGCACCTAGTGGGATAGCTGATAGTCATTCTACTGAGTCTTGTGATTAGTCTTTCTCTAGTCAGGCAGGTGGCTTGGGCCATCACGCAGATGGGGAAAGTGAGGCAGGGAGGATGAGACCCACTCTTGTTTGTAGGAGCATGTGGAAAGAGACACAAGACCACTTCCCACCAGAGAGGTCCCTTTCTCTCTAGGAATCTGAAGTCCTCAACACAGAAGTCCTACTTGCTTCTGCGAGGATGCATATGCAAGAACACACATGTGCCTCTGTTCCCTTGTATTCTGGCTGATCCTCTCCACTTGGATTCTGGAAGCCGCTGAAAGGCAGGGAGTACGCATGCACTATACTCTTCTGAGTTACAGGGAAAAACGGGCAAAAACATGGAAAACTTGGGGCAGGAGCACCCATGTATTAAAGGCTTAGAGGATGTGGGGGGAGGGGGGAGATGGGCATGGAGGAGGGCACTTGTGGGGATGAGCACTGGGTGTTATATGGAAACCAATATGACAATAAACTATTTGTAAAAAATAAATAAATAAATAAATAAAAATAAAGGCTTAGAGGAGACGGTGGGGTGAATGCTGAGGGAAGGCAGTAGAAGGCTTTCTGGAGAAACCAGGCTGGAGTTAAGTCCCTGGGGGAGGAAGTCAGGAGTGAGTCAGCCCCCACTTCGATCCAGACCAAAGGGCAATGGGAATGACCCTGGGATACCAGGGGATACACAGGCTGAGATACCAGCGCTGTGGCCTTCCAAAGATGCGGCCCACTCAACCTCAGTGCTGGGGACCAAGGGGGGCAGAGCTCTGTCCGTATTGTATGTAGCTCATCTCTGCTGGGGGGGAGGGGGGTGGGGGGGTGGAGAAAAAAGCCTCAGGAAGAGAACTGGCCAGGAGAAGCAAGGACATTCCCGCCCCAGACAGGATCACAGGATATTCTAGTGCCAACAATCATTCTGGAACCCACAGGGGAAGCTCAGTGTTGACACTGACCAACTGTGTGGTCTTAGGCAAGTCACAGCCTGTTCCTGGGCCTCAGTGTCCCCATCTGTAAAGTAGCACATAAGGGCCCTCCTGGCTGCTCCCTCTAGGAGACCTGTGTTATTATGGGTGTCTCGGCAGGGGCCGGGGAGGGTCCCATCCGGTGGACACTGTGCATCGCACAGACGATGGGCCCGTTTGGCAAGGCTGGCAGAGGGGGTCTCTGGATACTACCATGGTCCAGGGAGAGCTTCCTGTGCCCGGGTTTCCCCTGCTCCCTCTCTGGTGACCCTTGCCCCGATGCCCAGAGTGATGGGACCCTGCCACAGCCCCTCTGCCTCTCAAGGGACAAAGCCAAGTGGCAGGTCATGGCTGGAAAGGGGATCCAGGCCAAACAGGCTGTGGAGCCCCGGGAGGCCATAAGTGGTTGGGAGCCAGGATCAGAGAGCAGGCAGGCAGCACAAAGGACTCACTCTGGGAAGACTGGCGGGGAGCAGGGTGGGACTGCAGGCCGCAGGGTGGGGCCCTACCTCAGCAGGGGAGCTCCGTCCAGCCTCCGACACGGTCCAGGGCTCCAGACCACCCGGGGGCTCTGGGGTTGTAGCCGCGTCCTCAGGGGGCGACGTAGGCATGGCCCCCGAGCCAGGCCGAGCAAGATCCCGGGTATTGTGTGGGGCGGGGAGGGGGGAGGCGAAGGCGGAGGGAACCTCGCAGGCGGGCAGACGGCTGTCTCAACGTGCCTGCTCCCCGCCCCCCTTCCTCAGAACCGGTTTGGCCAGTCTGGGGTACTAGAGGGGGGCTGGAACAATGAGAGTCCTATGCCCAGGAGAAGCTCTGAAGGACCCCAGACCGATGTCTTAAAGATGGGGGCTGCCCTGCTTTTCCTCCTAGGAAACAGGTCACCCCCTCTTCTGGAGCTGCCCAAAAGTGAGACGTGCTTCATAGAGTGGAGGGACTTCATAGAGAACCTCCTGAGCCTTGGACTCCTCGGGGACCCTGAGAACTGGGCAGTGTGCTGACCCTCTCTGAGCGGCCTACAGCATCTCTGAAATGGGAACGCTCATCTCTATGGTGGGGAGATGGAAATCGAGAAAGTTTGATGACAGATGCATCCAGGACCATCATGGCGGGGCCCTTCTGGCATCACTGCTCTCATGAATGACCCATCCTCCCCCGCTGCCTAGAATGACCCACCTTGACATTTCCAATGGCCTCCTCCACCAGGAATCCTTCCCAGACTTCAGTCCACACCAGCGAGCCCCTAGTAAACCAGTAGCCCAAGTAGAACCAGCCTCCAGTAAGGAGGCAAGCATGCAATCTTCCCAAGCCCAGGAAAGGGAAAGCTGCTTTCTTCCTAACACTATCTACCATTTATTTAAGCACTCGGTAATTGCCAGGCACTTAGTAGTAATATGAATACGTACACAAACATCAGTACTCGTGTTGCTAATGACTTACTGTACACTATGTGCCAGGCACTATTCTGAGCACTTCACACCTATTTACAGGTTTCCCCTCACTCTCCAAAAGTAGAGCGTTCCTATGAAATCTCTCTAAGCCAAAACGACAGAAAGTGAAGAAGCAATTATTGTTACTGTATATGGGAAAATGTTTTTAGCATTTCCATACCCCAAAAAATAACTCTCTCGGGTTTTTCTGATACATAGGA